CCTTAATTGCCTGCTTTATTTCCAGGAGTTCTGATATATTCATTTTTAAAGTTTTATTTCCTTGGAGAAATACTCATTTTGTTCATTGATTTGTTTTCTGAGTGCACTGAATTGCCTGTCAGTCGCATCTCGTTGAGTATTTTCAGAACTGCAATCGTGCAATCTCTGTCATTTATATCACACAATTCCATGCGTTCCAGCCTACTTTCTGGGGATTTTTCATTTTCCTTCTGGTCATCATCATTACCCTGGTTGTTCATGGCATTTGCTGTCCTCCTTTGTTTTCCCGTTTATTTCTAAAGAGGTCTTTCTATTCTGTTCCAGTAGATGGTGCTGAATCGCAAGATTTTTTACCTCTGTGGTTTCACAGTTTTGAGCCTTGGTGGCTTCCGTAGGACAGTACTGCCTCTTGTGCTCAGGGATGGGGTTTATTTTCCCTCATTGTAACGGAGATCCCTGTTCTCCGGGAATTCAGCCCAAACACCCCTCCTGGGGTTCAACCACAGAGGGAAACAGGGGTTCTACTGCGACAACTCTTGGTTTACAGATAATATATTCCTGGAGCCAACTCTAAGCGCAATGGGAGGCGAGTTTGGGGAGTCTAATCAGCGGCAGGGCTCTAGTGACTGACTTTCTTTGTCTGAAAGACTACCTCCAGGCCCAGCAGTGGGGAGCTGTTAGGCAGCACCCAGTGCTCTATAGGGTAAGCGTCTGCTGACTACTCAGGCCCTATTCGCAGGGTGCCCACGATACAGGCACTGCAATCTCTGGTTGCTTGTCTGCAGGACCTCGCAACTCAGACAATGTCCTCTTCTGCACTGACGGCTCGCAGCTCGCAGCTCGCAGCTCGCCCTGCCAATCTGCTGGGCTGCCCCCCACAGTTCTCTGTTCCTCCCGGCTCCTGAAGCTGACCTTCTCCCCTTCCCGTACCTGGGCTGTGAGTTCCCACCTGTGCAGACGCATGTCCTAGCTTCCTTCCCTTCTTGTCTCCCAGCTTATCCCAGGAAGCCCACCTTAGGTGTTTCAGTTTGCTGGTCTCTCAGGTGTGCATCTGTGTTGAGCAGGGACTTCTTTTTTGAATTACAGATGATTAACTTGTTGAAATGTCAGGGGGAGAGGAAAAGACCTGCCCTTATGCCACCATTCCTCTGACTTCATTCTTCCTATTGGTTTTGATTGTAGTAATTCTTTCATTGTTGTTCAGATCTAAATATTTATTCATTCCATTGTGGTTTCCTTCTCACCCATGAATTTTAGGGAAAATTTTTAAGGTTTTCAAAAGTATAATAAAGTTTTAAATTCTTTTCTTTTTATTAAATTCTAATTTAATTTCATAGTGGCAGGAAGCACGGGCTGATTGATAGTCTTGAAATTTATTGAAACATCCTACATATATTTTAAAATATATTTTTATTGATTTCAGAGAGGAAGGGAGAGAGAGATAGAGCTGCCTCTGCACACCCCTTACTGGGAATTGAGCCTGCAACCCAACATGTGTCCTTGACTGGAATTAAACCCGGAACCTCTCAGTCTGCAGGCCGATGCTCTATCCAGTTAGCCAAACCAGCTAGGGCTCAATGGCTATATATTCTTAAATATATATATATATATTTTATTCTTAAATTACAGCTGACATGTAATATAATAGTAACTTCAAGTGTACAACATAGCGTTTAGACATTTATATAACTTATGAAGTGATCACCCTAGTAAGCCTAGTATCCATTTGATACCATACATAGTTATTACAATAGTATTGACTATATTTCCTATGACAATAGCTATATTTTTTATTCTCATGATTCCTAATTGGTTCTTTTCATTTAAATGTGTTCTTGTTTTATTTCTATCTGTATTTGTTTCATAGTGTTTGGCCCTTTTTTGTAATCCATAATTACATCATATCTCTTTGTGTGTCCTAAGAATACTTAAAGTCTTTATCATATTACACAGCAGACAATCTGAAATGAATTTATATTCTGATTGTTGACTTTGAGTTTTTTTCTGAACATTTTTTTACATGTTTTGAATTCCTGCTTGCAAGCACATTTTTTGCTGTTGCCTTTTTTTGTTTGTTTCCTTTGCTACCTCTCTGCTCATTCCATCGGTACTTTGTTGGTTTCCTTACTTTGGCCAAAGGCCGTAGTCCAGGGTCAAGTCTCATAATATGGCATTTCAGATTCCCTGTTGTTATGCTATCAGGGAAGGCCACTGACCCAGCTAATGAATAAATGGGCTGCTTGTCTCCTTTTGCTGCTTTGGGCAGTGATGGCGGATCTTTTGAGCTCGGCGTGTCAACATTTTGAAAAACCCTAACTTAACTCTGGTGCCGTGTCAAATATAGAAATTTTTTGATATTTGCAACCATAGTAAAACAAAGACATATTTTTGATATTTATTTTATATATTTAAATGCCATTTAACAAAGAAAAATCAACCAAAAAAATGAGTTCGCGTGTCACCTCTGACATGCGTGTCATAGGTTTGCCATCACTGGCTTTGGGTCTGTGGTTCCAAATAAGCTACAACTCCAGTCAATGCTTGGCAGTAGTTTTTATTTATTTATTTTCATAACTCCTTAGCTTAAGCTACAGCTGTGAACCTGGCTCTAGTCCATGTCTTGAGAAGCACTGATAGTCCTTTTCACTACACAAGAGTTGTCTTGCTATTCATCTCTGCTTACTTTTCGACTTAACTCGAATCATAGCCTTGAGTTTTTGTTACTTTTTTGGTCAGTGAAACTGCTTGTCTTGTTTTGACTTGATGTAATATAATCTCTCTCCACCCCTTCATCTATCATGCAATATGTTTGGAGCAGAGGGGATGTATCAAAGGGTCATTTACTGAGCTATGTTATTGAAAATCCACTTAAGCTTCTAAAGGAATTTTCTACAAGCAAAGAAAGAGAGAATGAAGAAAATAAAGAGAGCATTCAGTTTTTAAAGGAGCAATGAAAGGTTGTCTCTGCTTATATGGCCATTCTCTGTTAGCAAAGTAGAACCTTAGTGATAATCACTGCCTATTCTCCCCTAGTAGTCAGGGTCTTTATCATTACTTTGTTATTATCTAGCATCTTCCGCTTTCAGACCTGCTTCCTTCTCCTCACACCACTTAAAACTTCCCTTCCCTGAAGAGTAATCAGTACTCAGCTCCCTGTCAATTTAGTCATATAATTAAAGTAGTCAAAGAATTTGAATTATAAAGCAAGCTTGTGAACCCAATAAATCCTTAATTAGTCAACATGCGGGTATACTTCATGTGTGAGTGGTGACAGGAGGAAGGGGAGTTAGACTTGATTACATGTTTATTCTTACAACCAGACAAAGGTCCAGGAACAGACTGAAGAGCCTCTGAAATGAAGCCACTTGGAGTAAGGAGGCAGCAGTCATTCTGCCCTAAGATCACCTACTATGAGGAGGAGCCAACATGGGGAGAAGAGTTTTATAAAGCAGAGTCAAAATGAGGTATGTGCATGTATGTGTTTGTATGTGTGTCTCTGTATGTGGGTGTACACAAATATGTGCTGCTAAACTTCTACCCTTAAAATTAAAGCTCATTTGGCTCAGTGAAACAAATCTATTGAGCTTCCAGTTACTACCTGGAAATGTTCAAGAATTACTAATCAGATTATAAGAACTGCTGGCTGGAATCTGGTCTGGTTCTGAAAAAGATATTTAGCCATCAAAAGATCTATGTGGCCTGGCTGGCATGGCTCAGTGACTGAGTGTCCACCTATGAACCAGGAGATCACGGTTCGATTCTCAGTCAGGGCACCTGCCTGGGTTGTGGGCTTGATCCCCAGTGTGGGGCATGCAGGAGGTAGCCGATCAATGATTCTCTCATCATTTATGTTTCTATCTCTCTCTCCTTCTCCCTTCCTCTCTAAAATCAATAAAAAAATATTTTAAAAAAATATCTGTGTGATTTTCCTGGCTGGGTGGCTCAATCAAACACATACCTAGATTGCGGGGTCAGTGCTGGTCGGGGCAAATATGTGAGGTAACTAATTGATGTTTCTCACATTAATGTTTCTCTCTCTCTCTCTCTCTTCTTCCTTTCTCTCAAATCAATAAAAAGAATATTCTCCAGTGAGAATTTTTTAAAAAAAACCTATGTGATTTCTGGAATCCCTCTGCCCCCACTTCCTTAATCTTACAGGATATATAAAATAAGATAAAATCTTTCAACTTGGTCCACATATGTACTTAGGCTGAAGGAAGACCTTAAGACCTTTAGCATCATTTGGCTTAAGGAAACATATTTGATGACTAAGGAATCAAAAGAGTCACAGGCTTGTCAAGGATCTAACAGAGGCTATGACTCTTTTCATAGAAAAGTGCAAACACAAGTTTTGTATAGAATTTCAGGTAGTTTGTATATGTCTGGTTAAGGTATCTTCCAGCCTAGGGAGAAGCAGTGGGTTCAAATAGTATGCTGTAAGGGTTTTAAATGACCAATTCTTATAGGAAATGGGACCTCATGGACTCCCCAGAATCCACCTAGCACCTCCCAACACCTTTGGGTGATAGATATTATCTCCATTGGTGTTCATTCCATTTCTGGTAATGATCTCCAATTCAAACTCAACATTATTGTCCAAGTATCTCCATCCATGCTCACAGCCATAAATAATGAGATTTTCAAACAGAATTAGATGACATTTTATTCCATTGACCACTTTGGTCCATGAGACCCCTGATGCCCAAAGAGATCTCTGATCCACACACTGCATCTATTGCTAGTTTATTTCATTCATGACCCTAAACACTGATGTTTTCTTATAGAATTTTTCTTAATGAGATTTCATTACTTTCTTTTGATTATCATACATATTTTGGGTCTAACGCATACAAAGGACACTTCATCAGCTTTAATGCTGTCTCCTTCAGTAATATGGACATGATATTAAGAGAGTTTTTTAGAGTCTACACAATCATTTCCAACTTAGTAACTTCTCCCCCATTTTTAAGACAAGCAGTAATTGAGTTTTCCTATCACTATCACATTTCTGTGTTTGATAGTTCTGTGTTTGATAGTTCTGCATTTGATAGTTTTTCCTCTCCATCACTTGGAGATTCCATCTCAGACCTTGACTCTTCATCTTCAGCAGGCGATACTATAGTCACTGGACCAATCCCCAGCCTTGACCTCTCTGTGGGAATCACAGTGACATTTTGATCAAGGGGAGGAGATCTGAATGTTATGTAGTTGAGGAAGGAGATGATCCCTAGGGGAATAGAAGAATTTCAGGTGAATTACAATAGACACATGGTCTTTTGACTTCTAAAACTCTCACTCATCCTTTAAAATGCTCAGTTCAAAGGGCTTCTTTTCAGTGAAGCCAACCCTCCTCTCCCCCAGCAGAATTACTTTACAGTCCTATGCTCCCATTCCATTATAGTATTTTCACGTGGTTAGGACAAAGCTTGAACCTCCTGGAATCAAATCATAGTTTGACTACTTTCTGTGCGGTCATAGCAAGTCACTCAACCTGTCTATGGCTCATTTAGTGGCAGGACAGATTACTAATTCTAAGTTTTCAGTTTCATATCATACTGCTTCTTGATGCATAGATGCTCTAAATAGGAAGAATCAGTGCTTCTGTTTTTCCTAGATTCCACCTCTCTTTCAATAAGTGTATTCCCCTTCCATCCTTCTGGGATAAGGCAGGGGACTGACTCACCAGAAAACATGTATAAGAAGTCACTCCACCAATTAAGATAATAGGCCCATAGGAGGTCTGACTCCATGGCATCCCTGGTGTGCCAGTGAACCTGTGCCAGAAATAGGATGAGGCAGAAGAGCAAGCAGATGGCTAGGACCAGAAGAAAAGATGTCACAACCCATCAGTGTCTTCAGTCTGCCTTGACTACCACCCCCAACGCTTCTGCTTTCAGATGCCATTTGTATGGCAGGATCAAAATTTGGGGATTGACCAAGTGTGAGAGAAAAAAGGGCTTCTACCTCTCTCCTGGCATAAGTCACCGAAAGTGTGCTTTATACAATAAGACAGGGCAGGTAGCTGGCAACTTGATGTAATATTGAAAAAGAGGAAAGGGACAAGAAAAAGAGGATGAAAACCCCATAGAGAAACTTTGTTCCCTTGACAATTTTACCCTGAAATCACCCTGCCACTCTATGTTTGTACCTGAGATGAAGCTGAGCATGGATACCTTCAGATCCAAGTTGGTGGTCATGCTTCCTCTTCTAGGGAGGCAAGAACTTAAGAGCCAGCCAAGACTAATGAGTATGGTGAGGACAGAGATTAGGAAAAAGGCCCTGGAATATTGGAGGTAATCTGCGAATGAGAAGGAGAAAGTAAAGGCTTGGTTACTTGGTTACTGAGAGGTTCCTTCTCAGTGTGAAACCTCTCTAAAGAAAACCAGATAGAGTCTTCAAGAAGGAAGTAAGGACTAAGGAGATGAAACTGAGCTTGCTAAGTGGCATCCAGAGAACTAATAAAGATCTTGCTCAGGTCTTCATTGATACTATAATTGGAATGTCTTTACTATGAAAGCAAAGCCTTCATTGCAAAACTAAAAATAATATACGAATAGTTCTCGATATATTAACACATTAACTTAGATGTAAACTAACTAATAAGAAGTATGACTTGCCCTAGCCAGTTTGGCTCAGTGGATTGAGTGTCGGCCTTTGGACTGAAGGGTCCCGGGTTTGATTCCAGTCAAGGGCACATGCCTGGGTTGCAGGCTCGAGTCCCAGTGTGGGGTGTGCAGGAGGCAGCCAATCAATGATTCTCTCAAATCATTGATGTTTCTCTCTCTTTCTCCCTCTCCCTTCCTCTCTGAAATCAACAAATATATATATATTTTCCCAGTTATATTTTAAGAGAAATATGACTTTAACATCACGAACAAATTTATTCTTTTCTTGTTCCCAATTCTAATTCTAAAAGTAATACATGTTCAAAATAAGGATTGGGAAGACTATAAAAAGGAGGAAGAAAATGAGCCATAATCCCATGACCCAGAGGCAACCATTGTTAGTATTTTGTTTTATTTCTTTCTAGTATTTTTCTATCCTCCATATATAGTAGATATAATACTCAACATCATGTAATTTTTTCCTTAAGATTATATGGAGTGGGACGCGAGAAGATGGCGGCTGGCAGGACAGAGGTGAGGGAGAGGATGTGTGAGTGAGAGCATTTTTACATGCAAAATAGCTATAATGGTGTTGTGTGTGGGTGTGTGTGTGTGTGTGTGTGTGTGTGTGAGCGAGGGACAGTTAAATCCTACAGGAGTAGCAGGGGCTGGCAGACCAGACTCTCCTGGACAGGGAGCACCTACCATTGCATGGACACTTCTGGGGCTGCGGGACTCGGGCACGGAACCATGCCATCTTGAAGGGGAGAGCGGCCTCATCTAGGAACTCATCAACACTACCACCCACACAGCCCTTGGACACTGCCCACGACCCAGCAGCCATTCCAGCCAAAATCCTGCAGCCCCATCCACAGACCCGCAGACTCTAGGACCTCCACCTTCAAAGGAGCACCGCTCCCACAGCAGTAAGTGCAGCTTCCCCCTCCCCAGTGGCAGACCTCTGGGCACCACATTGGCACATATCCAGCATGCAAGCCTCTGGAGCCCACCACTCGACAGGCAGCCCCTGGGAGCCCCTGCAAGCGCCCGTTGAGTGCGATATTGTGCAAATGAGGGTGCACTGCCCCACAGTAAAAATTCTGATTTCACTCTTCCTGAATAACTGCCCACAGACACTGTCACACAACTTCAGCACCAGGGCCCCTCAAAGTACATCAGAGCTCCACACCGCAAATGCATCATGGGTACCTCTGTGAGCTGCCACTGGGAGCATGTGTATCCATCCACAGGCACAGCAGCAAAAACTGAGTCTTCCCACTCCACTGCTGCAGAACTCTGGACACTACAGTCATGCTTTTCCAGAACGCAGGCCTCCTGAGACCACGGCTCTACAGGGTGCTCTTATCCAAACAAGGGTGCACTGCCCCAACAGTAGAAATTCTGAATACCCTCATCCTGGATACCTGCCCACAGATGCCTCGATCGCTTGGCTTCAACCAGGGCTCTTCAGAGTGCGCCAGGGCGCTGCGCTGGTAAGCACACCACGGGTGCCCCTGTGAGCTGCCATTAGGAGCGTGTGTATCCAACCACAGACACAGCAGCAAAAACTGAGTCTTCCCACGCTACAACTACAGAACTCTGGACAACACAGTTGTGCCTTTCTAGTGTGCAGGCCTCCTGAGCCCCAATACCCTGACAGACAGCTCCTGGGTACCTCTGTGAGCCCTGGCTGGGCATGTGCGATTTCAACCAAGGATGCAAAACAGCAAAAATTGGGACATCCCCCTCCCTGGCTGCTGACATCTGGACACCGCAATTGTGCCTTTCCAGCTCGCAGGCCTACATCAAAAAATCCCAAATAGCTTAAGTAGGGAGCTATGATAGATTACCAAGCACAGGAGACCTGAGAGATCACACCACCAGCACCATCCTCAAAAGAAACTGGGTAGCAAAACAGTCAGATCTAGGACATAGAAACAATTAAAATGTTAGAGCAAAACATGGAGAGACAAAAAAGCAATCCCCAAAGGAAAGAAAAAGAGAAATCACCAGAGAGGGAGTTAAATGAAACCAAGGCAAGTAACTTCTCAGAGAAAGAATTCAGAGTAATGGTTATAAGTAATGGCTGAATGACAAATACATACAACTCAATGACAAATACAACAATCTGGAATATGAAGGAGCAAAATAAACCCAATCAGAAGAGCAAAAAGAAAGAAAAAGAATAAAAAATTGAAGATAGTTAAGGAGCCTTGGGACAACTTCAAGTATACCAACATTCTCATTATGGGGGTGCCAGAACAAGAAGAGAAGCAAGATATTGAAAACCTATTGGAAGAAATAATGACAGAAAACATCCTTGATACTAGGAAGAAAAAGACTCATACAAGTCCTAAGAAGCACACCGAGTCCCAAACAAGATGAACCCAAAAAGACCAACATCAAGACACATCATAAATAAATTGGCAAACATCAGCGACAAAGTACAAGTCTTAAAAGCTGCCAGAGAGAGACAGAAAGTTAGGAATCTCCCATTAGAATATCGACATATTTCTCAGCAGAAACACACCAGGCTAGAAGGCAATGGAATGATATATACAAAGTGATGCAAACCAAGGGACTGAATCCCAGAATACTATACCCAGCAAGGCTATCATTCAAAATTGAAGGTGGAATCAGGAGCTTCACAGACAAAAAAGGACTAAGGGAGTTTATTACCACCAAGCCAGCAATGCAAGAAATGCTAAAGGGACTGCTGTAAAAAGAAGAAACAGAAAGGCAAGAAGAAACACAAATATTAAGAATGAAAATTACAACAAACAAGTACTTATCAATAATAACTTTAAATGTAAATGGATGAAATGCCCCAATCAAAAAACAGAGGGTAGCTGAATGGATAAGAAAACGCAACCCATATATTTGCTGTCTACAAGAGACCCACCTCAGAACAAAGGATTCACACAGACTGATAGTGAAGAGATGGGAAAAAATTTTTCAGGCTAATGGAAATGAGAAAAAAGCTGAGGATGCGATGCTTATATCTGACAAAATAGACCTTCAAGTAAAGGCCATAAGAAGAGATAAGGAGCCAAAACCGGTTTGGCTCGGTGGATGGAGTGTCGGCTTGCGGACTGAAGGGTCCCAGGTTCGATTCCGGTCAAGGGCATGTACCTGGGTTGCGGGCACATCCCCAGTAGGAGATGTGCAGGAGGCA